TCCTTGTCTCCACTTTATTAAGGGAAGTTTCGTTATAAATGGTCCCTTGGCATTCTTTCAGGCTTCCCATGAACCTTTTAGGCTTGTGGCAAAACTACCATTTCTATTTCTTTCCTAGGGCTGAAGCAGAATAGGACCTCCCAGGTTTTCCCATGGCCCATGGCCTCTATGAGGCATTGGAGGAATGTTTGCCTTCCAAGCAGACGACCCAAGTTCGAGTCCCCATGAAGCTCATGGTTTTGAGCATACTCACCCCCGTTCGGTCAGTGGAGGGTTTCGTATTGCTAGAATGCTGGGCAGGACGCGGCAGAGCTCTCAGACTAGGAAGACAGACCTGGCTTCAGATATACTTCCGAAGTTCAGTCAGTAAAAACCCTATGGTTCACAGTGGTTGAGATAGTTAAAGTTTATTGTGGCAACCTGGCCAATAAGCACATGTGGGATTCATTGAGGGGCGGAGAGATAAATGGCTCAGTGAGCCTCATCCTTCTAGTTCTTGGGTCTCTTGCTTTCTGATGGTCGAACCAGGGTGCAGCTGCCTTAGTCAGTTCCCTGCTTCAGCTGGCAAGGCTCACTTCCTACAAGACATCCCTGAGGAGAAACCATGTGAACCTACCCCGATGCAGCCGTGGGTGCTGGAGCAGTCGTGTGGAGACCCCGGCCAGTGCTGAGATGCTTACACGCCCACTGATTCGGCTTTCCTCCTGCAGTCGTAGTCATTGCGTGTGTTTTGTGAGATGGAGGAGGACTTTGTGGATTGATGTCGGATTACGGGTTTATGTTGGACTTGTGGGCTTGGGCAGCACTGGGATGGGATGTTTTCTTGATGTGCACTTACCATTTATATAAAACCTCCCTCATACATATGAGTTTCTGTGGATTTGTTTCTCTAATGTTCCCAGACTAACACAGTGGTCTAGTCTATAACTGGATGGTTAGGGCTGGGCAGCATTTTAAAAAGGTATTTTGTTGTTGCTGAAAATGCACACAGCAAACCATACACCGATTCAACAATTTCTGCTTGTACAATTCAGTGACATTGGTGACATGGCATCCTGTTGGGCTGTGTACCCAATACCAGCTTCTTTTCTGAGTTGTGCCTCCCCCAGTAACACAAAGCCACCGGCCCCTCACGTTCCCATTTCATCAAGCTGATCCCCTACAGATAGTTCTTAAAAGGGCGTAACGCCTTAGGCCAACAGTCTGTACTCGTGAAACTAAAGCGAGTGTCTGGCTTTAAGAAGACTTCAAGTGTGGGGAGTTTTGGATGTTTCTTTGTTTAAGGTTTAAAAGTGTCGCAGGACTACAGTTTTAGGAGTTCATCCAAACTTCATGGTCCCAGAAAATCTGCAGTTCATGAGAATTTGCTTTTCTTTTCTGCATTTCCCTCCTTTGATCAGGATTCTTCTATAGCATCGTTAGTCCAGTTCAGTCACGGTACCCAGGCACCAACCGGTTCTTAACGTCTCATGATAAAGGTGACACTAGTTCCTGGAGGAAGTTAGCCACAGTCCGTGTTCTCCTGCTACTCATGACGCTCCTTCTTCCTCCACTGGTCCAGGTGAATAGAGACCAACTCGTATGCCTGGAGTGGCTGCTTCTGGAAGCATTCCCTTCTTTTTTAAAAATTTAGTTTATTTTATTTATTTTCTACTTTTTTAGCATTCCCTTCTATTGTGCATAGTCGCCATGAATGAGTCGTGACTTGACAAGAGCTGACAGCCACAGGGCCGTCTGGTCCCCAACTAGCAATGTTCTTTTCCTGATCGTTCGAGTCTTGGCAAAAACATCATTGCCCCAGAATCCGCTCAACACCATCCAAGGCAAGCTTCATGGCTGCCAAATCCCCAGTACTTAGTATGTATGCTTGGCACATCGTAGACACTCAACACATATTTACTGACTGAATAACAAAATAGAGGGATGAAGGATAAGATCCCCTCCCATTAGGGTAAAGGAGTTAAGACTTTTCCCAAACAAGCAAGCAGAGTTACTAAGGTAGGCTTGCGGGTCGATTCGAGACCTGTGTAGGCCAGGAAATCATTTAATTTCGTGCGCTTTCTAGAGTAAGATCATTGTAACAGGCCATCCTTGCCCTTCAGCCCGGTGGCCTCTTCCTCCACCCAGAACACATGCAGATGGCAATAAGCATCATGTGTACAGCACTGGGGTCTTTGGGTGTTGCAAAGGTGCCCAGCTGCTAACCAAATGGCTGGAGATTCGAATTCACCCAGAGACACCTGGGAAGAAAGGGCTGGTGATCTATTTCTGCAGAACCAGCCACGGACGACGGACGACACGTGGAACACAGTTCTATTTGGACACACATGGGGTTACCATGAGCTGGAGTCAGCTCTTGGGCAACTGGTTGACGGGCCTCTGGAGTACATGACGATACATACCACATGATCACAGCGACCAGTCTCATGATGGCTTCATTGAGGCAGTCGAAGAATTCCTTCAGGGCCTGCCCCTGCTCCTTCATGTTGCCGATCACAAAGCCGAAGCACATGGAGAAGACAACCAGCCCCAGGGCGTTGACTCCGTTCACAGACCCTGGAACGGGGACCAGCTCTTCTTTGATGCGAGTGAGCGTCTCCATGGCCTCCGACACATTGCTTATCACAGCTCCCACCAGCGTGTCATTGGGCTCGATGGGAACTTTAAAGCTCCGCTTCTCGTAGTTGGTTTTGAACTTCAAACAAAAGAGCACAACAGGAATGACAAGTGACTTTCTTCACATTTTCTACAATCATGCACCTTATTTTGCATTGAGAGAATAGTTGATAGAAAGTACCCCTATGAACCGTTGTGTCTATCTAGTTATAAACGCCTGCCGCTTACTCAAGACAAATGGATAAAAGCACAGTCAAATACATAGAACAGGAAAGGAATCGCTGATTAAAGATGTTGGACATTCATATGTGCTTTTGTTGTTTTCTGATATCCGATTAAAATGATTAGAATGGATATTTAATACAAACAATCAAACGAACAAACCATCCATTCAAATACAACAGTCCCTTTGATTCTTCAGGGGGTCCCACTGTGAGATCCGAGAAATTCCGTCCTATCCTGTTCCTCATATTTTGCAGCTAAGAACAAAAAAAAGACCAACAACAATATTTAAAAAGCCAGAGAAGAAATTTCTCTCATGGAACAAGCGAGAAATATTTGAGCCTCGAGCCAATTCAGGTGAGGGAGGTCAACTGACTGAGTATCATATTACATTGTGGTTCGAGCCGCAGGAGCAAGTTTACAATAGTCGCTGTCTGGTAGTAAAGCAGTAGAGTCCCTGGCCTGTGCCTAGAGAGGCTCTGCTGGAGGCTTCCGGGTGACTAGATTCTCTGCAGGGGACTGTTGGGCTCTCACGGTCCTCCACAGCCTTCTACAAATTGGGTCACCCATCACCTTAGGCAAGATCCATTTTCTTCTATCTTAAAAAGTGTGCATTTAGATACAATTTAGCTACAGTTGGTAGCTGTAGTGGATTGAATTGTTTCTCCCTAAAATATGGGTTCAAATCTTAATAGTGCCTGTTAATGTGACTATTACTTTATTTGGAAATATGGGCCTTTGCCTCGATGCTCTAGTCCTGATGAAGTCATCCTGGATTAGGGTGGGCCCTAAAAACAGGGTCTGCTGTCTTTATGTTGTTGTTGTTGCCGAGTGCTTTCCAGTTGATTCTGACCCACAGAGACCATATAGGACAGTATAAAACTACCTCACAGGGTTCCCAAGGCTGTAGTGCTTTACAGGAGCAGATAGATAATCTATCTTTGCTCCTGCAGATCCCTAACTTCTGCACACACACACACACACACACACACACACACACACAGCCAGGCGCAGAGCGAGCAGAGGTTAGAATGATACAGCTACAAACCAAGGGTGGCCAGGGGCCACCAGGATTGAGGAAGAGGCCAGGAAGGTGTCTTCTCTAGAGCTTTTCTTAAGGGGAGTTCAGCCCTGCCGACAGTTTGATGTTGGACTTCAGAAGCATGTGAGAGCACATTTCTGCTGTGGGAAGCCACCTCGCTGATGGTGACTTTTAGGGCAGTCCTAGGAGACAAACATAGCTGCCTACATGGAAATCGCAACCTTGTTTGCATTCTGGTCTAAGCCCAAGAGATCTGGGAAGATGCAAAATCCTGTAAATGCCATCCAGAGAGAAATACAATAAATCTGCAGGAGCCAGCATGTTTCCCATCGAAAAGATCTGGAAATCAGCATTTCTGCTATCACCCAGTGTCCCCAGGTTGACTGGAATAGTCGGCTCCGTGGTGCTGTGGCTGGCTGGTGGGATTGAAAGGGGCTTATTAGTTTTGGTCACACATGGTTTTGAATTTTAAAAAGTCAGATTTTGGCTTCTTAGGCATTTTTATTTCTTTTTTAAAGACAAAAGATAGTCCATGCATTTTCAGTTTCTGCATGTAGTATTTATTTGAAAGAGTCTTCATAGACATTTAAAAAGGAGACTGAGAAGCCAAGACTGATTTATAGGCATGGACTCCTGTTCTCCACAAGGTCAAGGTTTTTTTTTTTCATACAGGTTCTCAGTGGAGGCTCAGCGGATCACAGCTGGCGGACTGAAGCCATTTGGAGCAATGCAGGAATCCCTGGGCAGCACAACTTTTTACATGTTCGACTACCCACTGAAAGAAAAGTTGGTGGTCTGGATCCATTCGGTAACCCCAGAAGAAAGGCTTGGTGATGTGCTTCCTTGTGCTGCCATTGCCTTGTAAACCTGATGAGTCGGAAGCAACCAGACGGCAACTTGTTTGGAGAAATGGTTGAGGATGTTTATTTAGCCCGGAACCCAAACCACCGCTGCCGAGTCCGTTCCAAACCCTGGGGGCCCTACAGGACAGAGTAGCCCAGCCCTTTAGGGGTTCCAAGGCTGTCCATCTTTACAGAAACAGACGGCCTCATCTTTCTCCCACAGTGCAACTAGTAGGTTTGAACCACCAACCTTGAGGTGAGCAACCCAATGTTTAGCTCCCCTAACCCTTTTACTAGGGATCCTTCCTAGTTAAAGAATGTTGAATCTCCCCCTACTTTAAAAAATAATTTTAATAGTAAAGCAGCAAAGTTTATTTATTAAAGTGGCGTAGGCAATGACTCGATGGCAGTGAGAACACATATGATAGATGGACATATATGGATTGTGATAAGAGTTGTAAGAGCCCCCAATAAAATTATCTATTAATAAAAAAATACAAAATCAAAACAAAAAAATTTTTGTTCTTGAAAATTTAGCAAATGTGTTCATTTATAATAATATTTCCCAGGCATGTCAATTGTTAGAATGTGAATGAAAATAAAGCATGACTTTAATGGGAAAAAAAACCAACAAAAAACCAAACCAAACTCACTGCTATCAAATCACTGCAACCTTACAGGGCAGGGTAGAACTGTCTTTGTGAGTTTCCAATACTACAAATCTTCACAGGAGTAGAAATCCCTGTTTTTCTTCTGGGGAGTGACTGGTGGTATAGATCTACTGATCTATTGTCTTTGCAGTTAGCAGCCGAATACCTAGCCACTATGTCACCAGGGTTCCAACGGTGAGAATTGTAAAACCTATTTGTATATACAACACAGACGCCAAGAGTTGCTGGCTATGGGGCTAAGAGGAACTGGCTGCAACACCACCCTGGGAACAGTTTCTTAGGAAGCAGAAGGGAGGAGGAGAGAAAGGACCCATTCAGAGGCAACACAATGGACTTGGACTCTGGGTCTGCCATGGACTACCTGTGAGGTCTTGGACTGGCTATGTAATCCACCTGAGCTCTCAGGTGAACTGCCTCTTCAACGCAGTGAAGACAGTTAGACTCACCATCTATCTATTTGTCATGGCAGATCATACAATACTAGCTTTGGACCCCTACCTAGGCATTCAACCCAGGATGGTGCCATTCCTTTCTGGTCTGGCTCTCCTTTCGGAACACAGAAGAAAGAGTCTCTGGGTGGTAAAAGTGGGTCACATGCTTGACTGTGAACCAAAAGTTCAGGCATCTCAGAAGAAGGGCTTGGAGACCTACCTCCAAAAATCAGCCCTGTGAAGCACAGTTCTACTCTGACCCACTACTGGTCGGAGTTGGCTTGACAGGAATGATGACTAGTTCAAGGATTCTTAAAGATTTAGTAGTTAAAAAAAATGGCCCATTGATTTTTAAATCAAATCCAGAAACCTAGAGAATTTCCCTAGACTTCTTTAAAGTAAGTTGTAAATACATGTTACGTTAGGGGGGCAGGGGATGGTGGCCAGAGGGCAGGAGAAGAAGCAAAAGGGGATCCTTCTGATTAATCTTCTCAACAGGAGCAGAGACTCAAAGCACTCTTTTCATGCAAGACACAGTACAGGGTAAGCTGACCATCTTAGTGGTGGAGTGGTGAAGTACTCGACTACCAACAAAAAACGGCATAGTTCAAACCCACCAGCTGCTCCAAGAGGGAAAGATGTGGCAGTCTGCTTCTGTAAAAATCACAGCCTTGAAAACTGTTTGGGACCGTTTTGCCCCACCTAAGATTATCCTGTAGAATTGTCCTGAGTTGGAGTCAACTCACAGCAACCGGTGTGGGTTTTTAGTTTAAGAACTTCTCCTCCACTTCTCCACCCAGCAACCCTAGTGTTTTCTACTGGGTTGGTAAGAAACGTTCCCTATTGCAGAAAGGAGATGGGGGTGGGGGTTGGGGGGGGAGTGTGAGGGGAAGTTGGGGAAAGGGTCCCGTTCTGCTTCCGTTCCAAAGAGGAACTTCACAGGTAAATTAGCGGCTGTAGAATATTTACCTGTTTAAAGCAGGCTTCCACCAGGTTTGGAGGGAACATGTTCCTGCAAAGAAAGCGATAATCACTTGAACATTTCCCCCCATCATGTTTTCTCCTTAAAGATCATTTCCGTATGCCTTAAATAGAGAGAGGCCAGTGCCTGGGGAAGGACACCGCGCTCGGTAAAGGGGCGAGTCGACAGAAAGGAAGAAGATCCTGCACAAGGAGGACTGACACCCGGGCTGAAACAGGGGGCTCAAGCACAGCACTTGTGAAGAGGGCCCAGGCCATGGCAATGCTTCAGCCTGTGGTGCACAGCGTCGCCCGAGTCAAGACCAACTTGATAGCACCCGAGGCCAACGACAAGGTAAAGATTGCATGAAGCCACCCAAAGGAAAGGATCGGGGTAGACTTGAACTTGCACACAGGTAGTCCGTGTTTTTCAGGGAAATCCCAAATTCAACTCATCTGTCCTCTTGTCAGTTCATGTGAATCTTGGTTCAGACATTTATACCATCAAAACTCAGTCCCTAGGGGATATCAGAATGAGACTGGAAATGTCCTCTCTCCTAAGCATTCTGGATAACTGGGGAACTATTTAATAGTAGCAACAATAGCATTTAATTTTCCATGATAGGAGCTTCCAAGGCTCACTGGTGAGGGTGTATTTGAATTTTTGTATTTGTATATGAATTTGAGGCCCATGGGGCAGGATTTGAGGCTTCCTCAGACTGCATCAGAGCAGTGATTAGGGGCATCTACTGATTGATGAGTCTCTAACCAGCTGTATGACCTTAGGTTTCATCTGTTACAGAGGAGACTGAGTTGAACTATTACTGAGTTCATCTGTTACAGCTGAGTTCTGAGTTCATCTGTTACAGGGGAGACTGAGTTGAACTATTAAGGTGTCAGGATTGAAGATTGCAAGCGAAGGAAATATGATCTGGGGCAAGTGAAGAGCCCCAAATCCTAGAAGTTGTGTGCTATCAAAGTCCCATTTTAGGTTGTACAAGCATCTCCCTTTCTTCCTCCCACCTAGGCCACCTGTTTCCATTTTGTTCTCATCTGTGCTCCGTGGGCTTGGTTTTCTAAACCTCAATGGAATTACGAGTTCCGGGGATTCCAGGATACATGCTTGAGTAAAATGGCTTGATACTCTTGTCACTGAAATGAGTAGGGGCAGAAATATAGGCTCTGATTGGTCAAACCAGCCTGGGACTGAGAAGCATTAATTCTAACTACTGGAGGGTATAGTTTGTGGAAAAATGATCTTCCATTAACTGTGTGAACTAAATTAAAACAGTGAGTGAGTGACAATCTGGTATGGAATAATAATTTGATAGGGTGACTTATTGCCTTCACATTATGTGAATAACTTCCTAAAACAGTGGTTCTCAACCTTCCTAATGCTGTGACCCTTTAATACAGTTCCTCGTGTTGTGGTGATTCCCAACCATAAAATTATTTTCATTGCTACTTCATAACTGTAATTTTTGCTATTGTTATCAATTGAGCGACCTCTGTGAAAGAGTGTTTGACCCCCAAAGGGGTCGCAACCCACAGGTTGAGAACCGCTGTCCTCAAAGAAGCCTTCAAGAAGCGCTTCCACGGGCCCGCTCTGTATTCACATACAGAGAGTGCAGAGTCCATGGAAATCGAGAGTACCTGTTCTGCTTCTCCAGTCCTTCTGGAATCTACCTGCCACAGAGCCAGCCCCTAAGATGGCAAGTGTAATCAAGCCCCCAACAGAACTGTCTTTCAGATGATGTGTGAGGAACTTTTAAAAGTCGGTTATGGTATCTTATTAGTCACTTTGCAGGTAAATTCTAAAAAAGGAGCAGAAAGTTGAGGCTAGGAAGAGCTACAGAGTAGGGGAACCCTAAGCAGGTTGGGGATCCAGAAAGCCTGTGCTGGGACAGCTTCTGTTTGCCTCTCTAGACCTGCTCTCCGCCCTGCTCTGAGCTCTGGGAGCCTGACCTGCGGGAGCCGTGGCTTGTGCATTCTCTTGCTTTTTGGCTTCTCACTGGGATGCACTGACAGACCCCAGGGGCAGGTGCTGCATATTTCCCCAGCTTTGTCTCTCATAGCAGTGCCCTTCCTTCGAATCAGAGCCTCAGTTCCCATCCTGAGGTTCTTGTCTATGGTGACCGTTTTTTCTGGGTTCTGCCCACAGCTCCTTTCCTCTGTCCCTCCTTCAGTGCTAGGGATGGGAACAAAATCCTTGCTATTGCAGACTCTGCTGTGATCTGCTTGATCTGCAGTGATCTGCAGTCTGTTCCCTGCAAAGATCCTGACGGACACACAGGCAGGTGTAGCGAGAGAAAGCAAGAAAGTGCCAGGATCGCATGTTGTGGAAGATGGATCCCACCACCCACCCTTTTCCCCAAAACTAGATGGACTCATTTGCAATCAGTGGATGGCTGTATGTGAAACAAGAAGAAGCCATCTTTCATTCTTTTTTCACCAGTTGGAATTGACTCTTGGACCATGGGTCTGGTTTGGTGCTTGACTGTTCGTAAAGGTGAACTGTGGGGCAGCTACAACCAGATGACTGCTCAGGTTTCTTCTGGATCTAAATTGTGTGTTACGGACAGTGATACAGAATGCAGGCTCTGGATTAGAAGTATCCAATGAACAAGTCATGTATGAATCAACCTTCCAAACAGAAAACACGAAACTCACGGTCATTGAGTCCATTCCAATGCATTGAGACCCCACAGGACGCGGCAGAACCACCCCTGTGGGTTTCTGAGGCGGTAACGCTTTACCGGAGTAGAAAGCCTTGTCTTTCCTCCTTAGAGCAGTCGGTGGTTGATGACTTTGTGGTTAGCAGCCCACTGCGTAAAACTAGGAATGATTAGTATCCTGAGGTGCAATGCAGAATTGAGAGGCGAGCTGGATGACCATGTTCTGAATTCCACAGTCAAGGGTCTCAAAACCTGTATTGTCTCCTCGCTGCACTCCCTTCTTTCATAAGAGATCAGAAAAGAGAATCGTACTGTAGCTTCTGGCAGGAAGAAGGGAAGGTGTGGCCTTCATTTCAAGCCCAGTGAGGCTGGTACAGTATGCTAGCTCCACTGGGGTTTAGTTGGCTCCCCAAGATAAGAAGTTCAGAGATCAAAATATACCCACAGGGTCTGGCTTGCAAGGACATACCTGATCAAATCCAGGAAGGCGTCTGCAGCCGTCACTTGTACAATTTTGCCTTCTCTGTGCATGTTTTCCTTTGTGCCTTTCCCAGGATGGATGATGACGACAACGATTATGCCAATTATCACAGCAATGATGGTCGTAGTCATGTAATAGACTACAGCTCGCATTCCCATCTTCCCTGATGCCTTACTATCTAGGGCCGCCATTCCTGGTGAAGGCAAACAGAAGGAGATTTTCAGAAAGTCAGCCCAGGACAATCTCCAGTGGAAGCCAATGGAACCAAGATTTCCTTCTGTGCGTCCCTACCCTCATCCCACCCAGCCAGGAGATTTGGTTGTGTTAGGAGAACTTGGTCCCAGATTTAATTCGGACATTGAAGAGCATCAAAGGAGAGAGCCGTCCATTCGCTTGGGCAACGGTTGGGTCAGTAAACATGTGATGACCTCTTTTCTACTCACAGAATGGATTTCCCATTGTCAAGTAAAGTCTTCTATCTAATGGTTGGACAGTGAAACAACATTCTCTCCTGGCTTGTTGAGAAGCTGCAAGGGCAAGTAGTATGTGCATGCTTGTGTCAAGATAGAGTTTAAAAAACACTGGCAAAATACCCCAAGCTTACTTCAAAAGTTCAAGCGCTGAGGTTATATCACACAAATGAATTGCCCAATTTAATTAAGCTAATTAAATTCTTTCATAGTGGTTCTTCTCATAGGAAAAGGGTTCTTATCATTGTGGTCCGCCACCCTCCACCCCCCACCCCACCCCCCGCCCCTTGATATTTTTAATGTGATGGAAGCCATTATTCTGATCACCTTCAGTTCGAACTACGATTTACACTTAATGCAGACGTTGGGTGATAAGGCCAAGGTCTTCAAATGGTATCTCTGCTGTTTTATTTACTCTCATCTTAAAAAAAGAAAAAGTTATATTACTTTGGAGAGATTCTTCTCATTCTCATCCCCTGCCTTTCTCCACCTGGTCCCAGGCCCGAAAGACACCGTTCCAGGTTAAACACCCTGCTTCCCCTCACTGTCAGACCATCTTCAAAGTCTACCTCAAGCAAGGTGTCATCCTGGGTAAGTAGAAGACATGGCTTTTATGGCTCCCCTAACTACTCCAGCAAATGGAACACATCTGGGTGCCCTTGCAGGTGGACGACCAGTGAGAATGACATAAATACAAAGAAGCTTGAATTCTCTATCATAATCAGGACACTTCTCTTTCATTAGTGGTGTCTTCCCTTTACGTCCTTCTTCCCCGCTCCCTCCACCCCATGAAAACCCACTAGTATGAACTCTACTCAATGTTCTGTTGTCCATAGGGTTGCTATGACTTGGAATTGACCTAACAATAGCTCATAGCTTGTTGACTTAAAACAAAACAAAGCAACAAACTATTTGAAGGTGTGCTTCTCTAGAAAGTACCTTGCACTGCCTGAAGAACAAATAACATTGTCTTGGAAGAAGTCTGGCCAGAATGCTCCTTAGAAGGGAGGATGATGAGACTTTGTTTCATGTACTTTGGATGTGTGATCAGGAGAGACCAGTCCCTGGACAAGGACATCATGCTTGGGAAAGCCGAAGGTGAGCGAAAGAGGAAGACCCTTGACAAAAGGTGTGGACACAGGAGCTGCGACATTGGACCCCAAGAAAGCACAGTGGTGAGGGTGGGACAGGCCTGGCAGTGTTGGAGCAACAGCAACAGCAGCAACAGCAACAACACAAATGTGTCAAAAGCTAGACTTCGATTCAATGATCGATACCGCATTCGAAGGGTGGTTGGGCCCCGATCACACAAACATGCCTATGGGAAGGTAAAGTATTGAAAAATAATAGTGTCTGCTATTGCCAGATCATAGTTTGCTCCCAAATCATGCAAAGGTTGTGATTTGATATGGGAATCGATACTGTGACCTTTAATTTAGAATTTCATTCATCTTTGTACCATATCATTCATGATGTTTATAATAACCACTGTCCAGCATCTGACATATTCCCATTGTAACATCCACAAAGGCAAAAGAAAACAGAAACAGAAACAGTCATCTACGGTCCTGGTTAACAATGTGTAGAATGAAATATGAACTAGAACCCAGATCTTCTGTAGGTGAGTCTAGCTTGCGTTACACCAGTGAATAAACAAATGCGGCTCCTACAAATGAGAAGATCAACACTGGCTTACATGTGGGAACAAAGCCTTTTATAATTCTGGCCCACTTTCTTGAAACCCAGTGGTCCACACATGCATTTACTGGATGGCACCGTTTAGCAGTTTGCCCACACTGGAGATGGGCTAACCCATTCTCAGTCAAAGGCTCTAGTCCCCCCCGCCGACCCCTTCCCCTTTTCATTCACTTCTCTGAATCCCATCTCATAATAGCTTGGCCTCCCTGTTCTTAGAAATGATGGGGGCACAACAGGTCGGAGCTCTCTGCTCGAGGGTACCAGGCAGCAGGATTTTCTTCCTCTGAGGGGCTTCCTTTCTCTCTTGCCTTCTATTCAGCAGTGCTGTTCCATCCTCAGGACAACTTTTCTCTGCTGCTCCCCATCTTGAGCTATTTGGAGAAAGTGCTAAGGGTCCTGGCAGAACACTAGAAACCAAGGGGGCCAACAAAGGGTGAGGCATTGTCCTCCCCTTCCCGGGCTTCCACAGGGAAAGGAATGAGCAGGGCGTTAGCCCAGTCTCCAGCCAACAGGGTATCAATACCAAAACACAAAGTTTATAGTTGTTGGTTTTGTGATAAAAGTTGTATGAGCCCCCAAGAAAATGATTTTTTTAAAATTAAAAAATGAAAACCCATACGGAAGTAGTTACCCATATTGGCTAATTCTGAAATCGCTGAAGATGACCATCAAGATAATTTTAGTCACGAGAAAAAGAATCTATTCAACAAGAGCCCTCACCACCCTCTGCATATTGGCCCTTTGAAACACGAATAAAGCAATAGCCACGTTTGTTTCAGTCAAGGAAGAAGGGCAGATGTCTTCATTAAGCAATTTCCCAATGTAGATCATACCCTAAAGGGATCTCGTAGTCCTTGGTGGGGTTACAGGCCCATATCTCCCCTGGGTACTCCAGCATCCTCACTCTGTCCTTCCAACGACAATTCCCTTTTCTCTGATACAGGCCCGAGGAACGAAAGCACCCACCAGCCACAAGGCCGACACTGTCGTCAGAGCAACTGTCGTCCGAGGTGAACAATCTGTTACACCCAGGGCCACAAGGAGAACGAGTGACCTTGATTTGGGTGGGGACCAGGACAGTGGAGGAAGAACTCTGGAAGACCAAAGCCCAGATGAGCAGGATCCGTGGTTCCTTTCCCTCATCCACACTCCATGACTTTCTTTCTCCTTTTTCCAACCTCATGATATGGGAGAGAACAAGCTATCTGTTGGAGACTAAACACGGATGTCACAGTGTCTGGGGCCAGGGGAAAGTACTCCATCACCTTGTAGAAAAGGAAGCTTTGGCAGCAAATGCCCTAAATGTTTGGGAAGGGGAAAATCGGCAGTGACCCTTGTTACTTGAAAACTCTATGGCAGATCAGGGCATTAGGGCGATGGGGAGATCGGAGGTCATTTGGGTATAAGGCTAATTGTGGGAGTGTGTTAGCACAACCACACATTAATCTCCATAAATATTTGAACAACACATTCCAGCATAAGTAGTAAAGATAATGATCTTGATTGGCCTCTTTTTCTTCATTTGATCTGGGCTTAGCCAAGACACTTGGGGTTGGAATGGACTTGTTGGCAGTGCCAGCCAAAGTAACTTACACTGTCCCCTTCGCGACGTTCTGAGGTCTCTACATGAAGACAACCTGTCATCAGACCCAGGGCCCTCTTGAAACAAATAATTATTATTCATACGGGTACTATGACGATGCTTCCGATTATGATGACATGCTTTGTAGATTGTGAGTTGGCGTTTATGTTGGCCCACTGAATTGATTCACTGCATCCTACCCTGGCCGATAGCACGTATTCATTTAATTTCCTGACATCTTTATGATGCAAGTATTGGTAGGATTGTTCTGAATAGGTAAAGAAACAAGAGGCCCAGACAAGTTCAGTCGCTTGTCCAGGGTTGCCCAGCTAATCGACGGCAGTGCCAGGAATTGACTCTATACCCCCAAAGGGAACCCTTTCTACTGTTCCTGTCTTCACGTGGACGGCTCAGAGTCCTCCACCTTGCATTTGCTTCCTATCCCTGCACTTTCTCTAATCTTCTTGCATTTAAGATGAGCCAGTTGGCTTGAGGAAAATTCCACGAAGCGATGTAACCGAGACAAAAACTCTGCCACATCCCCCAGTATTCTTTGTGGCTGTTGTTGAAAGATGCTGTCCCGTTGGCTGAAACACACACGACACACAGCAAACCCATGCGTAACAGGATCCAATGGTTGTGATCTGGAGGGTTTTGTTGGCTGTTTTTCTGAAGTGATTGCCAGATCTTTCTTCCTAGGCTGTCTTAGTCTGGAAGCACCGCCGAAACCTATTTGGTATCGTAAATCATGCAAGCTTCCATAGATAGATAGGAGGTGACTGCATGTGAGGTGCACTGGCAGAGAATTAGAGGCCAAGTCCCTTGCATGGAAGGTGACCATTCCTCCTGAATCACCACCCCCCTCTGCTGAGAAATCTATGCAAATTCTTCACCACTCCTAGAGCACCCCACCCACAGCATATCCCACTGGAGTGTGGAAGGCTGTGGATACTTGCTGGATGTGGACACTAGAGTCTAATTTTCCTTTCTAAAAACCCATCACTACATACATAACCAGTCATCAACCAAACTCTCAACCAGTCATTTCTGCAAACCTATGATATAGTCATAGATGACTTAGATATCTAAAGGTAACTGAACAAGATATTTTTTCTGGAAGATGAAAAATTAAAACTTTGTTTCAGATACCTACAGTGTTTTAGGCAACAGTCAAGCTGGAGAGAGAGAAAAGGAAGAGAAGAAAGTTTTGAAGCAGATGGGTAATTACCTTTTTGGTAATAATGACAGTCTTTTGGTAATAAGTGTCTCCAAAACAAACAAACAAACAAACAAACAAACAAACAAAACCCCAAGCTCACTGTCATCGAGTTGATTCAGATGCATAAGGACCCTATAGGACTGAGTAGAACTGATCCTGTGGGTTTCCAAGGTTGTACATCTTTACAGAGACAATCTTACCTTTCTCCCTGGGAGTGACTGGTA